TTGTAAATGCTGAAGAAATATGAGAAAGGCCTCTTTAAGAAGACTTGTGTACAGTTAGACCTAACTGTGAGGTCATATTTTCCTCAAAGTTGTGTCTAAAGTTGGGTGTTTCCGTAAGAATCTAAGAAATACTTTTCTAAACGGGGGGAAAAAGATATCACACTCTCATCGTCACATTTATACAGGCAATATCGATTTCTATCTTCAGAGTCTGACAGAAGTCTTAAAAATTGAAAATAACATATTAGGCTTCCAGAGTAAATAATCCAAGACATACAACATCAACTATATGGCAGTTTTTACCAGTTAATGAAACCATTACACTGATGTTTAAAATAGCCAGGTTTTCTAATCATGCCAGACCAATGTATTTTTTTCTATTATAACTTCAAAACAGCTTGTACTTCTGTATTTCCCTAAACTTCTACAATAAAGGATTAATTTTACAGTCAGAGAGACACTTACATATCAGTGATTTATTATAGGCCGTGATTTCCAAACCAAACACATACCAAAGGTCTGAAACTGCCTGGAAGAGGTACACACCCTAGAGAACCACCTGAGGCCCTGCTTATACACGGAGAATGTCAGCAACTAGTTGAGAACTTTGAAGCCATCCAATTACTGCCCACAACTGCATTTCCTCACCTTCTCTAAGACCACCACCCCTAAGACCACCACCCCACGATAACCCTCACTATACTGAATCATATAATTCACAGTCATATTCTCACTCATAGGACAAACAGATCTGGCCTAACATACAAAAGCTACTCAAAAAGGTGACTATGCATTTGTTTATTTCCCCCACTCCAAAAAAAAGAAATTATGATCTGTAATCAGGAGCCTGATTCCCCTGCTGACTTAATGGGGAAAATTGAATACTCACTCAAAATATTCTATTCCACTTTTAAGCCCCAAATAAAATGGCCTAGGGCAGGCTATAACTCACAGGTGCACCAGGCACTTGTGGACACGACTGAAAGACTTCTTACAGTTGATTCTCTCCCACAGATGATGTTTACCACTGTTGTACAGATACTGAGAACACAGGCCCATGAAACTAGTCCTTCATTAAATGGGTAGTTTGACCAGAATAGCCACTTACATACCAGAAGAGATCATTGGTTAAGAGCTTCTATTAGCCTTTGGACTTGGCTTTAAAAAGGGCGTAACAGAGATATTACTATACACCTATTGGAATGGTCAAAATCCAGAACACTGACAACAGCAAATGTTGGTGAGCAACCGCAACTCTTTTTTTTTTTTTTTTTTGAGACGTTGTCTGGCTCTGTTGCCCAGGCTGGAGTGCAGTGGCGTGATGTTGGCTCACTGCAACCTCTGCCTCCAGGGTTCAAGCAATTCTCCTGCTTCAGTCTCCAGGGAGTCTGGGATCACAGGCATGCACCACCACCCCCAGCTAATTTTCCTGTACTTTTTTTTTAGTAGAGATGGAGTTTCACCATGTTGGCCAGGCTGGTCTTGAACTCTTGACCTCAGGTGATCCGCCTGCCTCGGTCTCCCCAAAGTGCTGGGATTACAGGTGTAAAACACCACGCCCGGCCCCGCAAAAGCAACTCTTACTCATTGTTGGTGGGAATGAAAAACAGTGCAGCTACTTTGGAAGACAGTTTGGCAATTTCTTATAAAACTAAACATACTCTTATCATATAATTCAGCAATCATGCGCTTTGGTATTTAAACAAATGAACTGATATCTTTCCAGACAAAACCCTGCACATGAATATTTCCAGCAGCTTTATTCATAATTGCCAAAAGGTGGAAACAACCAAGATGCCCTTCAGGAGGTGAATGGATAAATTATGATCCATCCAAACAATGAAATACTATTTAACCCTGAACAGAAACCAAGACATACGAGTTGGGGAACATAGAGGAAACTTAAATGCATTTACAAAGTGAAAAGGCTGCATACTGTATGATTCCAATTACATGACATTCTGGGAAAGGCAAAACTAAGGAGAGAGTAAAAAGATCAGTGGTTGCCAGGAGTTAGCAGGGAGGGAACGATGAACAGAGCATGGAAGACTTCCAGGGCAGAAAAACTCTGCGTAATACTATAATGGTGGACATATGTCATTATACATTTGTCTAAACTCATAGAATATACAAGACCAAGTAAACTCTAGACTTTGGGTGATAATGATGTATCAATGCAGGTTCACTGACTAACAATGGACCACGATGATGTAAGACGCTGATGGTGGAGGAGGTCGTGCCTGTGTGAAGGCAAGGGTTATGTGGGAAATTTCTGTACTTTATGTTCAGTGTTACTCTGAAGATAAAAGTGCTCTAAAAAGTAAAGTCTATTAAAAAAACAAGTGGCAGCAGGGGGAGACTGTCTCTTCCCCAGGGAGTGACAAAAAGGCAATGTGCCTTCCTGAACATGCTCAAGGAAAAAGAAGGCCACAATTACCTTTAATGCCCAAGAACGTGAACATTAATATCACATTGGAACTAAAAAGAGCCAGAAAGGCAATTACCAGAATTATGGTACCATCTTCCCTTCAAATTAACAGTGAAAACTCTAACAGTGTTTTCACAGTGAAAAATCTAACAAGGTCTTCACTTAATTATCAGAAACTTCCTAGACTGCCACTAGCAAGGGTAATGCTTAAGTGAGCAATGTCAGGGATTGTACAGCTTAACCTTGATATAAACTACTAAAGTGTAGTTCAATGGACTCTCTGCATTCACAGACCAATTTCATGGAGTCACATACATTTCTCCTCCCACATTACATACCTGAGAGGTCAAACGTACCCCTACAGAATCTGGATCCTAGGTCAGTTAACACCTGCAAAATCTTGAAGGAATCTATTTCCTGCATTTATCATTCAGCTCCTCAGTAACAACTGCCAAGTATTAGGAAACCAGGTGAACCACAAGCACTTTTTTATTTGTCTCCCTGAATATATTAGTCAGAGATTAAAGAAGAACTGAGAGGCTTCTGGTACTTGTGCAGTGTCATCTAAAACAATTTTAACTTTACTCATTAACACCGCACGACATTTCACGAAGTATATTCGGCTGGATGTCAGTTTTAGTTAAGGGTAAGTGCTAAGAAAAAAAGCCACCACCTTATACACTTTTCGAGCTAAGTACTCAGAAGGCCTCTGGTTTGAAACACCGGGAATGAACACATTTGTTCCTGCAAAGCCAACATGTGTAAGTACAGTTTACAAACCTACTTATAGTACGGTCGAAGTGTCAAACAGATAACCCTTTGATAGTCTCTGCATCCCTCATTCCTCCCTCCCCAACAAAACCAGCCAGAATTGCCTACTGCACGCAAAAGGCTATTTCACTTCATGCAAGTTTTACTACTTTCCATGGTTCACAACCTCCAAGAGACTAACCCTCTCGTTTACTAACTCAAATCTTAAATAAACTGCCTCCACCAACTTCCCTCTCTTCTTAACCCCTACTCAGCAAAGACATCTCTGTCAGCCAAGAAAGCTGCATAGGAGGCTTGGAAGTGGCTGCCTCTGCAAATTCCCCGCCCCCACCCCCCTTCCTACCAAAAGGGCAGTTCAAGAACTTTACCATCTCACATGTAAGTTGCTCCAATTCCATTCTCCAAAATTGGATTTGAACATGAAAAGTTTCTTTTTACAATCAACTGCTATTTAGGCTACTGATCACACTTACCCTGCAACTTGCTTTCTACACAAATTAAGAATGCCATCTAGTTCTCATGTATGAGCCAGCATTGGGGGTATACACACTCGCGCACATATATACACAGGCTCCTCCACCGAAGGCTATTTCCCGGCACAAGGGGCATCCTAAACTTGCCCCATTTCCAAGATGGGACCCTCCATCCCCAAATTCAACCCTTTTTCTTTATTTCAAAGTTCAGCCTAATCCGCTGTTTTGCAGCAGCTATGGCAATTTATCCCCCTTGATTTCTTGACATTTTCTTCTCTCCTCCTGGCTGGGAAACTTCTGATTTGAATACAGTTGTCTGTGTGGGGATCCTGCATGTTAATGATGTGGTGAGCTGGCAGGGATGATAGGTGAGAGTACACAGTGTACTTTTTCTAGTTACGTTTCGCCTCATCACTGCTATACGGGCCTTTCTAAACGCCTGCCACACCAGGAGAGACCTGCAGACCCAAGCTTACCCTTTTCTGGGCAGCCTCCAGGGACCAGGTAGAAACAGAACTGATGGCCTGTTCTCCAGTATCTAGACTCAGAGGCAAGATACTCCTAATCACTCTACGAATGGAGCGAACACACGTACCTCTGGCTCAGCCAGGGAGTCACAGTGGCTACCCTTCCCCTGGTTTGGGCCCCAGCCCTGTCCAGGCCTGAATGCTGCACTCTCCTCGCAGTAAACCGTCCACCCTCCCACTCCAAGGCAAAGAGCTTCCAATGGAGGTGGGAGCATTAGCTTGGTACCCGCCCTTCCCTCTCGATCCTGGCCAGAAAACTCCACTTCCCGGATTCCCGGCCACTCTCTCCCGCCCCGTACCCGGGCGATCCAGCTAGTGCCGTCCAGATGCCAGCTTAGTACCCAGCCCAGCTGCGAACCCCCACACTCCGAGCCAGGCCCCAGTAAGAGATCCCAGCTTCCGCTCTCTCCCCCGGACTGGGGTTCCCCAGATTCTGGACGCACCCCTCAAGCATGCTAGGGCTGAAAAAAGTCCTACCCCGCCCCCCAGCCACGCCGCCAGCCTCCAGCCCAGCCCCGGAGGGGCCTCTTCTTCAGAGGCCAAAAGGGACCATGAATGGTTGCCACAGTAGCCTTCCCCCGCACCGCGCAAGGGTCTTCAGCCCCCCGAGGAGGACAGACCCGCGTGGCCCCGAAAGGACACCTCCCTCTCCTCCCGGAGGCCAGCAGGTCCCCGCAGGGAGTGTGCTCTCAGAGGGTCCCCGGGAATCTGGGGAAGACTGGGGGTTGCCTGGATGCGGGTGCAGCCCCTCCCGGGCCGGGCGGAGGTTGGCGCTGCGGCGCGCCCCCGGGGGGCACTCACGATGGTCACGCTGGCTTTGCGCAGGTCGCGGTTCTCCTCCTGCAGTGCCTTGCACTTCAGTTTGTAGGTCTCCAGCTCTATCTTCAGCACCTTGTTCTCTTGCTGCAGCGAGGCCAGGCGGTTGGTGAGCTCCTCCAGGCGGAACGGCGAGATGACAATGCCCCCCGACTTCCCACCGCCGCCGCCTCCCCCGCCGCCACCGCCGCCGCCCGAGGTCGACGAGCAGGACGACTGCATGGCGGCCGAGCTGCTGCTGTTGCCCCCCGCCCCGTCCGTGTCGCTCTCGCTGGCGCTGTCCGCCATGGCCGCGGCGGGCTGGGGAAAGGAGGAGGAGCAGCAGGGAGGCGGCGGCGGCGAAGGCCGGGCTGCGAATGAGTGGGCGCCGGGCGAGCACAGGGGAGCGCCGAGCTGAGCGCCTGGCACCAGGGCGCAGACTCGGAGCGGCGGCGAGAGAAAGAGAGGGCGCTTCCCGCTGCCAAGGGACCTCCTCTGCCAGAGAATAGAGACCCCGCCCGGGCTTGGGCAGTATTGCACTGGGGCTTGCTCCAGCCGGGCCGGGCGCGCTCGCTAGGCCGCCCAGCAGAGCTGGCTGAAAGCTCCGGGACCCGCCCGCCGCCGCCTGGTGACCACGGGCGGGCTGGGAACGCGCAGGCACTGCGGGTGCGGGAAAGCCAAGGACTGCCCCCGCACCACCAGCTCGCCAGCCACACGTGTTCCAAGGGAGGGCCTATGAGCCCCCTGGTCTAAGCCCGCGGCCGCCCAGCCTCTTCCGGGCTCGCGCCCGCCCCTAGAAAAAAGAAACCTGATGCCCCACCAGCCTCGCAGGTGCCGGGGACACGTGGAAAGGTCAGCCGGGCTCCGGCGCCCATCCTCTACCGTGTTGTGGCCCCATCTTCCGCCGACTGTGTGTGCGCGTGTCTCCCTCTATCTGTTTCACACATACACGCAGTTTTATATTATCAAAAGCAAGGTGTTTTTGACTGGGAAGGCTTGGAAAAACCTAAGAGAACAAAGTTCCTCTACAAGAGGCCGAGGAGGATGAAACAACAGCAGCCACAGGTTAACCTTGTTAAGAAAGAATTTGCGGGAGAGACACACACCCCCTTTAATAACCTCATAAACCACACTGCGCTCAATTGTTTAAACAAGGTGCAACTGTTTTTTTTCTTTTTCTCTTTGCATTTTGCAAACATTTCCAGCACATGTCACGCAGTAAGATTAAGACAGTAACATTTATCTAATGAAGAAAAAAAAAAAGGAAAGCGAAACACTTTTAGCAGAAGGTTGAAACACCTCTTTAAGTGCCAATTTTCCAAAGTAACTGCGGACATGACATTATGCTATACAAATAATAATGATTGAGTGGGAGTACAACATCACCCTTCTTTGCTATCCTCTTGCTCACTCCTAGAAAACTTTAGCATGTAAAAATGAAACAGTAATTACTACAACGCGGTCTAATTCAGGGTTCTAGCTTTGCAGTTTAAGAAATTAAAAATCAAAAACTTTTATTCCCCCTCCCTCTTCCCAAAGGCTTGCAGGCAATTGGCCCAGCAGGTGAGATGATTCTAAACACTTTGCCCTGTTGACACAAAACAGCTTTCACTTATGTATAAAAATTGGAAAGTGAAACTGACCAGACTAGTTTTATTACCCATGCTTAGTTAACATTAGAACAAACACATGGAAACAGAAAATAGAAAAAAAAAGTGTAATTTTGTTTTCTGTTGCGTTGAACTTTCTGAAAGATTTCTAAAGCGTTAGGAAGAAGGAAGAATGATTCTTATTCCCACTCCCTCGTTATCTTTAAACTTAAATTTGATCTCATGATTAAACGGTGATTCAATGGCTCTTGGAAACTGGCACCTCAGAATAAACTCGAAAACACCAAGTGTTCCAAATGACATCATCTTTCACCAAGATGGCTGCTTTCAGCAAACAGCTTAAATGCCAACAGCAACTAAACCCCCATTTCTCCCAGGTAGTTTAGCTTAGTGCTAGAGGGCTTCTGAACTCTGTCACTGTTTGTGTAGCAGGAGGGGGGAAATGCTTGGCTTTGCTCTTGAGAAACATATAGGCAATCTAAATCATTCTGTTAAAAGTGATCCAGTTTAATTTGCACTGAAACTTAGTTCTCTCACTTTTTTGGGATCTAGTACATCAGACAATCAGCTAGTTAAGTTGGAAACGGATTCTGGAAAGCTCACTTGAGGAGTGAAATGGAAGAGTAAAGCTAGGAGGGAGCAGCACCACAGGGGGAAACAGATTTAACAACATTCTTTCCACTTTATTCAGCACTGTGATCGAATCTTAAGAGTGGGGCTGGCTGCCATACCTCACAAGTTTCTATTGTTCCCTATTCCATAGTATCTTAAAGCTTCCACTTTTGGAGCTTATTGCAACAGGAACATTCCTTCCAGGCAGAGCAGGGGGCAAATTAACTCTCTCTTAGCGTCACCACAAAACTAACCGCCTTGGAAAGGCGGACTCACACTGCTTCAAGTCAGCAGAGGGGTGGAGTTTGAAGCGCCTGGTTTTCTTAAAGGGCCCACGTCATGGTAAGCTTAAGAACGTAGTGGCCTTCAATAGGATTTGGAGGAAATTTGCATTTTGACATGGTACTTGTAGGTAGTAATCGTGTTTAGAAGACTTTAGGGAGAACCCATCTTCTAAAGCTTCCCTGCTGATACAGATGGGAATAAACTGGAGAATATTTTTTCACCATGGTTTTTATTGTTATTGCAAAGCAGAAGCGTGTCTAATTTTCTACGTCTTGTAAAAGTGATTTCCCTTATACACAGATCATTTATCACAACACTGGTTCCGTAATAGCATTACAATGGAAACACCAGTTACAAAAGCAATAATATCATTATAAAACTCCTTCTCAGCTTTCTAGGGGAAATGAATCAGAAGAACAAATAGTAGTATGTGCTGCCTGGAGGAAGAAGGGACAGATTTAGGTAATCACCTCCTTTGGAGAAATAATGAAATTTAGCTTTGTCCTAAATTTAAGCTGCAAAAACACATGAACAAAGGAAAAGAATACCTTGTAGCCTAACTGCAAGGCACAACATCAAGATTTTTCTTTGTCTAATGCCATTTTTGCAAATGACTTACTCTATGGCCTTGGAACTTTAGTGTTTTCAACAATAAAATAAAATAATAATGGCATAAATCATAGAGCAATTTTGTTAATTTTTGATATCTATAAACAAATTGTTGTACATATCCAGTTACATTAATGTCAGATCTGAGTAATTTTATTCAAATTCTAAATGGATTTAGTTGTTGCAGGACTCACCATTACAGTTTTGAAAAGAATTAGGGTGAGCCGAGTATGAGCGGGATGTCACAGAGTGTCCGAATTTGGATAGAAATATAGAAGAATGTGTCCATGTAGCGCTATCATTTCTCCTTCTTTTTTTTTTTTTTTTTTTTTTTTTTAAGAAACTAGGTTTCTCTGTGTTGACCAGTCTCATCTTGAATTCCTGGCCTTGCACTCCTGGCCTCAAGTGATCCTCCTGCCTTGGACTCTCAAAGTGTTGGGATGACAGGCCAGAGCCACTGTGCCCAGCCTAGGGCTATCATTTCTTGAAAAGTAGTTGATAGTTTATTTATTTAATTACACCTTTAATTTAGAAGCTTTGTCTAGGTCTAGCAAGGCATTTCTGAACACTGACATTTGAGACTGGGTAATTTTTTTGTTGTAGGGAGCTGTCCTGTGCATTGTTGGATGTTTAGCAGCATCCCTCGCCTCTACCTAGTAAATTCCAGTAGTATGCCAGCCAAAAATGTCTTCAGACATTGCCAAATATCCCCTGGGCCGCAAAATTGCCTCCAGTTTCAAACCACTGGGCTAGTAGTATAAAAGACAGCCCCATTTTGGAGTGGTTACACATTGATTAGATACCACTGAGTCATCAAGAGAATTTGCTTCTCATTTCATCTTCTCAGTGTCAATTAGACAAGAGATCCTGGGCCCAAACAACCATATCCACACTTTATACTATTGCTCTCTTTAGCCACTCTATTTCTTTTTTTTTTTTTCTTTTTGGAAACCGAGTTTCGCTCTATCGCCCAGGCTGGAGTGCAGTGGCACAATCTCTGCTCACTGCAACCTCCGCCTCCTGGGTTCAAGCAATTCTCCTGCCTCAGC